TGCACACTCTATTCTTACTCATATAAACATGTAATATAATCCTCTACATAAAGTCTCGTTAAGCTCATTGCCTCAGCAATATGCAGTAGCAGCAAGTTCCATCAGCTAAGTTAAGAGTACAGAGAACATGATCCCACACTACCCCCATACCCAGCTTTTTGGAGAACTTATTCCGCATGTTTGGCACCACTATAAAGAGGGTATTAAGTGTTGAGATGAAAACCTCCATCACTGATGGGCTGACAGCCCTTTCCAGGTAGTTCTGTGGAAAGAAGAAAAGATCAAGTGCATGATATGCAATAAACACTGAAAGCAGCAGCTTTCTTCTGGCCTCCTGCCCACCCAAAAAGTTAAGATTTCTAAATCCAAACAAATGGAGTAACAGTTCTTCTACCAAGATGCCTGGCAGCAAGTACACAGGCTCATAGAGCATTTTGAAAGCTACTAACAGTCCCCTCTGCCAACGTTAGCACAGAGATGTGCTGCTAACTCTGCAAGACATTACATCAAACAAGAAACTTCTTCCAGATTCCAGCTGGCAACCTGTTAGGCCTCACTGCGCGGTGACTGACATTGCTGCCCACACTGCCCTGGAAGTAACTGCTCTTACAGGTCAGATGGCTAATTCTCCAGCATGGCACACAACATAGGATGTATGCTTAAGTGGAGCTGACTTCAGTAACCCTGAACACCTGTGCTTCAGCCTTTTATTGAGTAGTGGCAAACACAGGCATTTAAGCTCTCCACAGAGTCCAGCCCCAAACTGTTTAGAACAGAACAACTCTACTCACTCTTGTAGAAAGTCACAGGGCAATTTTCTTACACTCCTTTATTTTTTACCCAAGTTCAATGAGCAAAAAACAGTACACTGACTCCAGCTTTGCCAAACTGGACAGGCACTGCAGCCTCCCTTCAGTGAGGAGAACAGCAATGCCACTGGAGCTGCCTACCAAGAGACTGATTAAGAAAATACGAAACAAAACATCTCCAAGCTCCCACCAACTGCAAGAATCCCTACACTTGAAGCTGTGGCAAAGCACAAGCAGAATTTACTCAACATTTGGAACCACAGCCAGAGTCCCACTGTTTTGACAATTCTGCTCGAAGTGTCTTAGTGACAGGTCTGTATGGAGCGCTACGGCACAGGCGACTCTCCACAACTACTTTTTAAACCATGTCCCTGGCCTTACTGAGGCACAATGTTTGGTACTGCCCTTGCTGGGTAGACTGGGCAGCCTCATCAATACCTTCTGGAAAGAAGCATGAAAATGAAACTGCAGGTGCAAAATACCGCTGCTTCCAGGACACAGCCAGGTTTTGAAAAAGTTGCAGAATGGGAAACAACAGTTCAGGCATTCCTCATTTTCTGCAACACCCAGAGCTGCCGTAGGTTAGACAGCATGGCAGGCAGGCTATGGGGATTGCGCACTCTGAAGAAAGACACTGCCATCTCTATTTAAGCTTTATCAATTTCTCCACCCTCTGAGACCATACACTCCCATTTTGCATTAACTGTATAATGCCACAGCTGCTCTTGGTTTACTCTACATGCTCGCTTCCCAGAAAACCACTTGTGCAACCCTCTCTTGGTGCCTCAAAGCACCTTTCCAGGTACCCAAGGAATAGATCAAGTTCAAAAGAAACCCTACCGTGACCATAGGGATGCAGAGACTGTCATAAATCCTCAACAGGAACTCAGAGAAGTTCCTCAGCGTGTCCTTGCTCTCAGAGTTGGGGGCAGTGAAAGCATTCTCCTGGGCCATGGAGTCACTCTGAAATTCCACTGCTAACCTACAAACACACAGCAGATACCAGAAGAGAGAGGAATCTTCCTCACTCTGTAAAGGACGTCAGGAGATACTACCTTTCAATCACAACTTTCACCATTAAGGACCCCACAAACACTTGATGGGTTGGAAGCACAGGAATCTGGCAATCGCACAGTTACCTCTTGAGTAAAGCTATTAAAAGTCATCAATGTTGCACAACAGTACAAGTTGAGAAAGGAAGACTTGGGTTCTGTGAAGAAAGTACCTGCTGTGGGAAGCCCTAGTGTGGCAAGACTAAGAATTCCAGGCCAATTTCTTGGGAGACACATCCAGGTGTCACAGAATTTTCACTATCACTACATATCCCTCCTTCTCTTGTTTCACTGACAAGCACCATGCACTGAACTCGCCTGTGATATTTCAGCAGTGGGGTTGGCTAGAGGAACTCAGTTACAATGACAGAAGGATGGATGGACATGGACACACACCACTCACCCACGCCCCGGACCTGTCCTCACCTGCAGGCATTTCTGAAACTTTCCAGGGTGTTGAGCAAGAACTGTCCCTGTCTCTGAGGAACTCTGCTGAGATTTCTGTTTGCTGGGTGGCTCTGAGATACTGAGAATAGGAGATCACCCTGTTAAAGGAGAAAAGTCTTTAAAATCTTAGGTTCACTGTCAGAAAAAATAGCTTTGTTTTCTCTGATATTAACAGCAGGAGGAACAACAGATTTAACTTAACTCACTTCTTTCATAGAACTGTTTTTTTACTATTGTGCTGTCCCCAGAGAGGGCAGAGTTAGAGAGCTTTTGTGCTCTTCCTAAGGAGGACAGAGTTACAGAGCTACTAGTTCTGTACTGTCCTGTCTTTCCAGTCTGCATTGTCATGGTTTGGTCTAATCTGAGTTTTAGACAGCTCAGCTAATGGAGCTTCAAACACTTCTGGGAAAATTTACTCTTCCAACAACGCTGAACAGTTCTTCTCCTTGCTCAGCACTGAAATATCAGAAGTTCTCTACTTTGGCTCAGATCTGTAAGCAACTATCCATGTACGAGCTCTTGCTCCCACACAGCATCCTAATGAGTTCAGCCAGAAGCCAACTGCAGCGTCAGAGTTAATCATTTGCCCAAACTGGGAACCTCTTGGAACTCAAAATCTGCCTTTAAGCCTTACCCCGTTGCGCTGGTCTTCTCCAAATACTAGCAGAGGAAGGCAGAGTGAGACACTGCTGCCTGGCAGTTCAGAACTCCTTCTCCATTTGATGCCAAGATGCCTTAGTACAGGTACAATAATTTCCCTTTTTCTCCCTTTAAAGACCATCTGGATGTCCTATCTGCCCAATTTCCTTCCTGTGAAGCTTCTTATTCTGAATGGGACACCAAGCTCTGTGTGTGTGCAAACAGATTGACCAAGATCTGCCTATGGGGGCAGAAAGCAGTTCTGCCTTCTTTAAGCCTAGAGCAAGAAGGCTTAGCACTTGTGTTTTCACTAGCCATCTGTAACAGCTTAGCCCTTGTCTTTTCACTAGCCATCTGTAATGGGGCTTCCCTCAGAAGTGCGTAAGTCCCAGCAGCACATCACACTAACTACATATTCCAGGAACAGGAATGGATTTGCAGTTCAGAGAGTGGCTAAGAGCTGCCTTGCTGAGGCATCACAATGCATATATGATGACCCTCTTGGTATGAAGGCACAGTGAGATGTTCACTGCCAAAAAAATAGATTGACCAACACAGCCTACAACGTAGGGGACTGGAGAAGAGGAAGTTCAAATGGCTTAGGAGTACTGGACACAGAGAGCAGTGTGCTCAAGTGCTGCCCCACAAATCATCATTGATTTAGAAAGACAATATTCACCAGCATCCATATTCAGCTACTTCAAAGACTGGTACCATCTTGAGGCATGAGGATCAAAAGAAACACTAGAGAACCCAACAGCCACAGGGTAAAGGGATGAAACATATATACAACATCCATATAGTGTGCTAGAAGGATCATTCCTGTCCTGCTTGGTCCTACCAACAAGCAACAACAACTTTTGACTTACTGCATGCCTCTTGCTACTCTGTGGTGGGGAAAGGTCAGCACATCGCTTCACCACTGCCTCTAGCAGCTTCTGCAGCTCTTCATATGGGACTGGAGGGGAGCTCAGATGGTCCTTCCTGAACAAGCAGAGAGAAAGACATCATGCACATTCCCTGCTGGGGACATTCCACCTGGGAAGGCAACAGCAGCAGAAATAACTGCTCTTCTGATAGCAATATGTCATTGCCACTTCTCTTCAGCACAGCATCCTCACTGCATTCACTGACTGCTCCCACTCCAGTCAGGAAGATTATGACCATGCAGAGTTTCATGCTTGCTCTTATCTATCTGGATGGGGCACAGTGTGACAAAGCCACAGCAGCCACAGTACAAGCCTGCCTGGGACGCTAGGTCCTTGCTGCAGCGACTTGCTGCCTACCACAGCTTCATTGCCCTGTCATTTGAGGCAGGTGGGAAGCCAGCTCTGCTGTACCCACGCCTGTCTCAGTCAGAAGTCCCACTGCAGAGCATGCTCACCCACACAGCCACAGGGGAGCCGCAGAGACCAACATGGCATCAACAGATCTATCTGAAGAAAAGCCTGCAAATACTTTCCTGCCTACCTCAAGAAAGCAGCCACAGCTCTCACAGCCTCCACTACCACCTCCAGCACTGGGCAGTTCACTGTCTCCATCAAAACATCAATGGCTTCTATACATACACCTCGGTTTGTGAATAATTTGATTTCCACTGGTTGCCTACAAAGAGGAAACAGAGTAAGCAAGGAAAATATTATCAGAGTTAAGTAACTGTAGTGCCCTCTTTTCATTTCACCAAATGAACAGCTGAGCCATGTGGTTGCAGTCATGGTTTTCAGTAGTCAGAGCCAGCTGCTCTCAAGGAGGTAGTCTCAAACTTGAGCAGGTAGAAGGTTTGCTACAAAGAGTGAACTTCAGCAGGTCTGGAGCCCTACTATGACGAAAAATCCCATAGACTGGATAAACTGTGTGAATACACCAGCAAACAATGACATGAAAAGCACAAGATAAACAGGCTTTGTAAAATACAGTGATCTCTCAGCCTAGGACTTTATGCTGAGGCCATCTGCTCTGGCATTTGTGGGTTCATCTGGCAATTCATATTTCTGAGTAAACAAGCAAACACCATCCTAGAACAAGGATAATGCCATGAGAACAGCTTCTCTCACGGTCCTATGGCACTTCTAATGCCAGATGCTGCCAGAAGGACAGGGACTTTCATGAACTTGAAAAGTAATCAGGAAAATAAACACAATCCAACTGTTTTGGCAATTCTTTACAGTGAGCATTTCGGTTATCTGATCACCTTGTGGCTCAACACCTTTGAGCACTCAGCACGAGAGCATGGAGGGATGGATTGCAAGCCATTAATTCCATTACTGGGCAGAGCTGTGTAAATGGCAGACTGTGCTCATTTGGCTCCTGGCAAGCCCGGTACTGCCGGGAAGGCGAGGGGAAGACAGGCAGCTACATGTGGACAAGAGACACTAACAGCCTGCCAGAGGGCCTCTCCTAAGTGAAGCAAGAAAAGCAGCACAGCATGACAGGAGTCAAGACTTGAGAGCCAAAAGTATTCCCTGTTACTCAGTTTTCGCAGATGTGCCTGCCTAAAGCAAGCCAGGAGCACGTGCTCCCACACACAAATGGGAGAGGAAAGTGAACTTTGGTAGAAATTACACTGGTAGCCCAACTACAGGGCAAAAAGTGAACAGAGGCAGAACCACTCTTTTTAGTCACTCAGTGGGATGAAACCCAGCTTGGCAGTCATCTCACCTTCTGCCATGAGAAAAAGCTGTGGCAAGGCAAGGAAGAGGCCTTGTGGAACTCAGGCACCAGGAGCAGCCTCTGGCCCAAGCCATAAGTGATGTGCCAAACTTCCAAACTGTTTCTACTTCCACTGTAATTCTATTAATCCTCTGTATTTCCTTTCTTTAATTGCTGACCTTCTGAGGTAAAACACATCAAGATAATAAAAGTCTTCACTGACTCATACAGGGAAAAAGGGATGGAGGAGTATTGCTGACTCATTCAAGAAGCACAAACCCACTTGCAATATGGTGCACTACGATGTCTTCAGGGCCCGGGAGAAAAGTGTGAAGGACAACACTCTTGCTGATTCCGGCAGCCTCTTGTCTTTGGGTGCCAAACTGTGCCTGCCACTGTGGTTGTGCTGGGAGAGACAAGGGGCACTGCAGGGACAGCTATGCACCGCTGCTGACATACTGCCAAGGGGAGCAGTGTGTCCTGCTTGGACAATGCCAGAGCCTGGGGCTCACTTACACAAGAGAATCCAGCTGGAAGGAAAAACCAAGAGGAGAGGTTCCAGGATGAGACCTCTTTCCCCACTATGAGATTGTTTTAAATAAAACATCATTTCTAAGGCAAAGCTCAGAGAAACAGAATGGGTGTGCTAGAAAATGAGCGTAATTGCATACAGCATTCCCTTTGTTTTACAAGCATAAACACGGTAATTAGTGTTTCCCACATCCTGGTGACTCTTTTTGAGAGATCCCACACTGGTATCATCACACTGTTCTAGCACTGCTGCTTTTCCTTCTCCTTTTTACCGTGCCACTTGCTACAAAATTGACTATGACATTTCCAAAATTCAGCTCAAGGGCTCTCTTGGGGGAACTAAGTGGCAAAAACAAGACTCTGTCACTAGCATGACAGGATGGGAACAAGATCATAGAGGCAAGAACAGGAAGCACAGAAGAAAAACAAGACAGGTTATGTTATTTCTTAGCAGAAAACAAGAGGAAAAAGTGACAGAAGACATTAATATTTCAGCCTAAAATCTGTTTTTGCTGTTTGAATTTAGCTCACGTGATGATACAAGACTAGAAGCCATGGAAGTTGCATGCTCTGTTTTGTCACAGAGGTACACTTAGCAGGAGCTGGCTTGCTCACATACATCTGGACCTTCCTAGTCATCCCTCCTGCTCTATCTACAGCTGAAAGGAGATTTCATCTCCCAGACCGGCAAAGAAACAGGAAGAGGCAGATATACTGCTGGATGCACGCACAAGGAGGACAAGCTGCGAAGCTCAGAAACAACCATCAGGCCCTTCACAAGAATAAGGAAGATGCATTTGTTCAGCAACATCTTTCAAACGCAAAGGCTCTGGGAGTGTAGATATCTGGTCTCGGACAAAAACCTTAGAAGTAAAAGCACCACAGCCTCCATTCTGGGGCACCAAACCCTGCCTGTGGGAGCCTGATGGGGGTACTCCCTTACCGTTTCAGTATTTCGGTGAAGAGCAGGAGCCCTTGTTTGTGCAACTCCACATTGTTCCGCTGCAGGACAACTCGGAGACTCCTCAGCAGAGTTTCAATGCCTGCACGTGTTCAAGAGAAGTCACAGTGAGGGCTTTTAATACTCCTAATTCCAGGATGGAAGCAAAACTATTTTTTAAAGGGAAGGAAGATTTGAACAATTATTATTCTGAGCCACTAACAGAAACAACTGCCCCAAACTGCTGAGTGTTCACTCAGCTCCCTGGTAATAGGCCGCAACCTCCACTGCTGGAGGTAAGTCCAGAAGAATGGAAGGAATTTAGCCTTTCTTCCTCACTCTTAGCATATCCACAGAAAGACCTAATAGTAACTTTGGTAGTGTCAGTTATGATAACTGGTTACTGTAATGAATGCATGCTTACCAGGAACTCATTAGGACAGTGACACCGTAAATTCAAGCTACGTTGGACATCAAAAAATAATGTCTGACCGGTATTAATTTTCAGTCCTTTATTTATCCCGACTGGAAATTGTGATTGTGGGTAAAGTGTTGAAATTCAGCTAAAGGCACAACAAATGCCCACAGTATTCCTGCAGTCACTCTGTCAGAAAGGTTGATGACTCACCATAGACTGTGTGACACTTTGAGAAGAAAAGGCGTTCTTCAGTTAGGAGGAGCAGGCAGCAATACACTGACCAGATGAGAATTTCACTGTTGCAGGAGAGACACTCAAACAGGAATTCTGCAAACACACACACATAAATAAGGTCACCCTGCTAAGAGGCAGTTTGCTCACAGCATGGTACAGCTGCTCCTAGAACAGAGCAGAGGAAGGAGGAGGAAAAGAGGAAGCATAGCAACAGCTGCAGGGAGAATGGTTGTATTATGAAATGGCAGGAATGGAGAATGGAATGGCTGCTTGGGGGTATGCTAGTCTTCACAACAAGGTGACTGGAGAGCAGAGTCCTGCAGGCAGGCATCTCCCCAGCACAAACTCAGCAGGCAGGAGCTGAATTATGGCTCTAGCCTTTGGCACAAATGAAAAGTCACAAAGCAAGCTATACCACAGAGGCAGGGATCTTTTTTTTTTTTTTCCTCAGAACTTTAACATCTCCCAAAACAAATGTAAAATGAAAGCATTTCTGTCTTCTGGGTTTACAGAGAAATAATAAGCCATCTCCCACAGCTGCATTATAAAGCTAAATCCTAGACCAAATTCTGTGCAAACTTACAATATTTAGTGGGATAAGATGGAATCCCAGTCTGTTTAGGCTTGTGTCTAAGGTCCTGCAAGAAGGACCTTGACCTCAAGGACTTGTCCAAATTTTTGCTGTAGAAACTCCATTCTCCCCATTGACAGTTGGCTTTTATACTTTCAGTTGAAAATTTACTGGCCCTTTCTATTCCTAAAATCACATTAGCCATTTTTACCAGTATAAAATGGTCACCACACACATTATGCCATCAGTGGATTTCATGGAGCCAGACCTAAACCAAACAGCCAGGGAGTGCTTTGATATTGGGAGATGAAAAATAAGATGCTACTGCATTTCTTCACCTGGGACATCTGCATGGATAAAAGCAGAAGCATATCTGCTGGGAGAGTGAACCAGCACTGCAGCCACACAGTGAGAACTTGCTGCCTGTAACATCTCATCTCTGGTCAACAAAAGCTGTTGGGAAACAAAAGGCAAAATGAGAGAGAAAGTCAACTATGCAGATATGAGTAGGAAACAGTTTCCTCTAAATTTAAAAATTTAAAACATTAATTTAAGATCTCTCTTAAATGTATCTCAGAGATCCAACTTGCTAAGGCAAGATAAAACACTGGACCAAATACACTCAAAAAAATGCAAAAATAAGAACCACAACAGAGAAGATTATGAGTAAGAATAGCTCTGCCCCCATGCTTAGTCATGCTGGGACTACAAGTGCTGTATCAGACCTCACGTGTGAGTGAGTAAAATCAGCTGAGGCCAGGTGTAAAATTTCCACCACCCTAGGATGCAGGAATAAAAATTAGGTGATATATGGGGGTGTCCCCATTCCCCACTGCAGCCTCTGTTGATGATGTTGGCAACAGCACACTCGGGTGCCTCAGATAAAGATTCAACATAGGCCACCAAATTCTTTACATCTACCAACAACCCACTACTACTTCAGCAATCACCTTTTTGAGAACAAGTGGCAGTGGATTTTCCTCTTCTAAAATGTCAGGGTTCTCAGACTCCTCCTCTGTCTTTGAATTATTCATGAGAATGGATACAAAATGGTCAGATTTCAGCAGCTCCTTTAGCAAACCTGCAAAAGGAGGAGCAAGAATGAGCACCATACTGGGCATAGCAAGGATTACATTAACACAGGAGTATTTACAGCCGAAGACTTGTTGCCAACTTCCTCCCCTTTCCTGCACTCCTAACAAAGGCTCTCACCTCCAGTTTAGGGAGCTTCTTCTCACTTTGTTCCCAGATACTGCCATGACCCCCATCTCTTGCAAGCCCTTGTTGCTGACGCTTTTTGCTGGGTCTGATCTGCTCCCTGTTCCTTCTCAGACATGCATGTCCACTGGTACATGACCTCAGGAGCACTCTACTCACATTGTATTCCATGCTCCAGTACCCAATCCTTCAACTGTTTCTTGGGAGAGTTCTTGATCTGCATTTTTCTCCAAGCTACAGTCAGTGACCCAACAATAACTAGACATTTTCCCTGGAATACTTCCTAGAGAACTGGCATTTATCTTCCCCTTCTACTTCCACAGGCTCTTACCAAAACAGCTGTGTTTAGCTAAAGGATATCCACACACACAAAAAAGCCCTCACATGTATAAAAGCATAGAACACTGCTACAGGTATTGATGCAAATCATCAGCGTATGTTAGTACAAATTCACAAGGTGTATTGTCTGAGCTATAGAATTCGTCTTTCAAAGGAATCAGCATCCATTTCTAGAAGCTGAGCAGATGATATGAGGAGCAATCCAGCTCCTGCTTACCTCTTACAAGAAAAAGGAATTCCCTGGATAGTTTACAAACAAGCAATGTCAGAAAGGTTGAAATTCCGCTCCCCAGCAACAGTTGGATCTGTGCAGTTGGAAGCATAAATGCAAGAAAGTGCCGCTTCCACATTAGCTTTCTTACCTAAATAACGTGATGTCCCTCATCTGAAGACCACACTCCATCCCACTGCTCTACAAAACCCACCTGTCCATGCATAGTGTTCGCACTCAGACACTTTTAGGTATGGTCTGTTCCAAGGATGAAACATCAAATTGAGATAGGCCAGGCCACAGTGCAAGCTCTGAAGAGAATCTGAAGATCAGTCAGTGCTAGGCAAATGTGGGGCTCGAGGGACAACGGAGGGCTGGGAGAGCTCAGCAGCAAGTCTGGGCCATTTGACTGCTATCGAGTAACAGAAAGGACTGACTGCTTCAGAAAAGCAGCAAAAAGCTCCTCTAGGGAAAAACCCACATTGGAGTGTCTAAACCACCCAAGGATTTCTTCTTCATTCTAAGCCTTCCCTTGCACCTTGTAGTATCCCTTGTAGTACTCCCTTGTAGCAATGCCTTACCCAAACAATTAACCTGCAGTTCATTTGTCTGTGCACGCCCCAAGGTATTCAAGAAGAGACCACACAGCCTTTCTTCAAAGTGTGCTGAGAGCCGTTCTGTGCCAACAGGAGAGGAGAACAGCTTGCCATACAAGTAGCAGACAGCAGCCTTTACACCTTCATTTGGGTACATCAAGCCCACCAGCAGATGATCCACTAAATTACCTAGTGTGAGGAACAGAAATGGCAAACATTCACACCAATGAACTGACTTTTTAAAAGCATCAACCTGTTTCCCTTGAAAACTTGCAAAAGCCCACTGGACAGACTGGTGTGTGAAGATTTATGAATGTCACAATTAGGTGATGTGCTCACCACCATCTGTCCCTCTGAGCAGCGGTACAGTAACAAATGGCTAGCTCACTGTTCACCATATGAATGACCATCATCCCAGCTACTTCCACAAACAGCTAAGCTTGCTCACCAGACCCCCGGGGCTGTTCCAAGGAAAGAAAAACTAAATGTATGTTGCCTGTGAGGCAAACCCACCAACCCCAGTTCAGACAGGCTGGTTCTGCAGGGCTGGCTAAGAGCACAATGACAAGCCTGCTATGAAGGTACTGACCTACAACCCAGGAGGCCTGAATGCCACTCTGACTTCTGGACAGGCTTCTTGTATGACCTTCATGAATTCACACAGGGGACAGGGGCACACATGCATGTCTATGTGTATTAGGGCTGTGAATGCCCCTTCAGTGGGGCACGACACGTTACTCACTGTGCTCTACCACTAGCAGATCAGCAAAGCCTGGGATGGCATCTACCAGCTTGCCCAAGAGGGTGAATGTGGGCAGGCTGCCTCTCATGGTAGTTACTTTGCACAGCTGTAGAGGAGACAAAGAAAATGTTTCTCTGGTGAGAACAGAGTCCAAAGGCAGAAATGCACCCAAAGCAGCAAGCTCTCGGTGATGCATAATCCTCCAGAATAGGATCCTTCCCTAAGCTGGGTCCTCTTCACCACTTAGGATAAACTACAGGAAAACCCTGAACACACCACTAAGTCTCCAAAATGTCTTTTAACTAATACAAGAAATCTCTTGCTTGTTAGCTGAACTTCTCCCCACTTGCACTACTTCCTACTTTTTGCACCCCATGGGACCATCACAAATTTAGGAATGAAGAGAGCGAGAGCCCACAGCACAGGTTGGGAATGCTCCTCATATCACTGAAACAGTAAGGTAGGAAAAGAAGAATCTGAGGAAGCCACACAGCTTCAGAAGAGCACCATGAAGCCATATAGCTGCAAGGCATCATGGAAACCATAGGAAAACTCCAGGGTAGACACTGACACTGACAAAATCGCAGCAGGGGAGCTGGCACTAGGACATCCCACTGCAGCAGAGGCTGCATTGCAGTGCAGTAGCTGCAGTTTTGCAGGATCACTCATTCCCATCTCCTGAACCTCTGAAGGATTGAAAGGAAGGGCAGGGAATTCATTTCACTGACCTCTTTTTGGCTTTCATCCAAAATGCAGTGTAAGTACTGTTCTGACTTCAGCTCCACTATGAGCCGCACCAGAACTAGGCAGAAGAAACAGGATCAGTAATTCACACCCAAGAACACTCACAATCCATCTTCCACGGGGCTTTAGCAGTCCAGTGAGCAAAGACCTCAGAAATTAAATGAGCATGGAGGTGCTGAGAGAGCAGGGAAACATCAGCATTCCCAGCGCTATTACTTCTGATGGCCCAGCCTGAGCAATCTGCAGCAACATTACAGCAGTCCTCTTCTCGCTGCACTACAAACCATGCATGGAAAGAACAGCAGGAGACAAACTGAGCATCAGGACACTAAGTAAACGTAAGGAGTCAGGAAGGGAACGAAACAAAGCCCTACAAGCACAAAAATGTCTGGTAATTGAATAAAGCAGGCTTCCTGCAGTATGAAAACTGGCCTTTAAAAACCTATCTTTCCAGAGAAGATACCAGCACTGAAACTGCTGAGTATCCTTAGAAGCAGACTGAAAGCTCCTTCTCCATCTGCTACTGTTCCTGAGGTAGCAGTGCAGTCTACCAGCCATTCCTCCCCACTGTAGTTATCATATGGGATATGGCCAGAAAGTGAGGCCTCAGTCACCTTGTGGTACTGTTCACCTCCTCAGCCCCAAGTATGGGCTGTTATTCTTGGTTCACTGCTACTTTAAGAACTCACTCTGCGTTGTCCTAGTAAGAGGAGTCAACAAGAAATTATGTTTATCAGGCACTGGCTGCACATTACCTGGGGTTTCCCTAACAAAATCACAAGGGAGCTGCCTGATGCTGGCAGGCTGCCTCAGCCTCCACACATATACCAAAGGACAAGTTTCAGGAAGCAAAGTTCCTCTTCTGGTATTTTTAGAACTTGGGCACCTGAATGTTCAGCAGATAAAGTTTTGGCAATAGCCCTCCACTGAGACACTGTGCAGAACATTGTCCCACAGGATCTGGTAAGGCTGTCTTGGATGTACCTTGCTGTCATGGCACAAAAGAGCGTGAAAAACACACTCTTTTCAACTGTATTCTAGGAAAGCATCATTCAAAAAGCAGCAGAGACTTCGAGGTTTACCAGCTCTTGGTATATCCAGGGCAATACTGGAGATTTATCTAGGAGACCTACTTTAGCTAAAGAGCTATGCACCTCAGCAGAGGCATATCTCTAAAAACTTTTCAGTGTTAGGTAACACTAAGTTAAAATTCCCCTGAGAGCATCCATCTCTCAACAGACCTGTAATGTGACAGAAAGACTTCTCATCTTTTCAACACCATTTCAAGCAAGTGCCTGAAAACTGAAACCCCTCTGGAAGGAGCTGGTCAGACCTCCTTTCACCTTTCATGGCTGGACAGGATAATATCACTAGACTCAGGAGAGATGCCCAAAGTTAACTGGACTGCAGAGATTTCTTTGTCAGCCCTGCAGGCGTTTCCTTCAGATTTCAAATGAAGGACTGCTCGCAAAAAGGAATCTGCATCCTGTGCAGGTAAATCCCAAATACTCTCTGTCCTGAGGAGAAAGCAGCAGATCTCAAAGCTCACTGAAGCCTACAGGAAGATTTTCATTTGCTTTTAGACTTCGGTCAGGTCCAAAGATGCCAAAGATGGGGTATTGTTTACCACTGTTACCCATCTGACACTAAATTCATAGCACATACAGAACCTGTGAGAAACACTAAATATTAAAATCTGCACGCACTCCCCTGCTCCCAAATACTGGAACAGTCTGCTTGTCACTGTTGCACTGATAGAAAATAGATGCTCTTCCCAATTCAAGCTGTCTAGAAGCTGAGCTCCTCACTACACTTATTAGACAAGACAGAGCCTCCCTTCACAAACTGTCAGTAATCGAGATGTGGCATCTGCCTCTCACCTTCTATGAATAGGTCCAGGGCACCACTGTCTTCCACAGTATGCAACATCCCTAAAAGATAAACGACAATCAGTCATGGAACTCATTCCTGCATTCACCAGTGCTGTAATGCCCCCTTGTAAAAAGAGCTGCAAATTTTTTTCAGAACTGTTTTGTTTTCCCTGCTTCACGTGACACCGGCCTGACTTTGTCAGAGGAAGGTGGATACTCTCAGGAAGTATCACAAAAGGTGTCTCCATAAGCAGGACACAGGGACATAAAGGCATTCAGTTCTCTTGCAAAATTTTATGTACTTTATAGTTGAAGTCAACAGCTCCACCTATGTAAGTACATATGTAACTGCTACCACTGCCACATCTCACTGCATGTATCCAATTTACACATCTGAAACAACACTCCAGAATGACAGAAGTTAGAGCCCAGCTTTGAGTTGTCCTTTCTATCTTCCATTCATAGTAATTACCATAACCAGTCTTCTCCCTCCACAATACTGAAAACCCCAAGATCAAATATGAACAGCAGGTTTAAGGCACACAGAAACTCTTCCAATGTTAAATTGAACCTGAAGGCACCACTTCACAAATCACTGGTACAATGAGAGCGTAAGACTGGCTATATTAAAATAAGCCACTGTCTCATTCTACTACACCACAACAGATGAGAAATCTACCTCCCAACTCCTTCCATCTTCAGGTACCTACAGCATCAGATATCTGGTTCGGACCCCCACTTGTTCCAACGTACCCAACTCAATTACCTGTCTTCCAGAGTCTCCATCACCTCTCAGAAATTTGACCAACCAAAGCAATGTTTTGACATTGCAGATGAAGAAATTACTTATTTCCTACCTCATTTGCCCAATCCTCAATAACTTCCTTACACTTTGGAAAAGATCTGCATACATCATCAGTGAACACTGCAACATTAGTTGCATGAAATTCAGGCCTACCTGAAACTCATCATCTCCTCATACGTAACACTCCATACTACATCACTGTTCTCTTAACCCTCTTTCTTCTGCCTGTGCTTATCCCAATATTCTCTTGCCAAAAATGACTGTATTTTCCTGATTTTACTCTTAATACTTCCTTCACAGCATTGTTCAAACATTTGGGGGTCCCTCTTACACTCTCACATCAAATGATCCTTGGTTCATTCAAACTCTATCCAAAATGTACATGTCATTTTTTGTAGTCCCAAGCTTAGACTGGGATTCCAATTGCTCTAGGATTTACACCAAGCACAGTAAAATCCCAAAGCTGTCCAATTGTAAAGCTTCTTGAAGACAGAGAGAGCTATTATTTAAAAGCAGACAAGAGCACTGAAATGCAAGCAGGGTTCCCCTGTCTTCTGGGGTATTTCATGTCAGGGCCATAGAGTGAAGGAAGGAATTGGCCATAAGCACCACTCCCTCCACATCTGTCTAGGATTACGTGCGAAGACATTGCTCAATACCAATTTGTGCAACAGAGAGAACTAAACCTGCACAAAGTTCTGTTTCTAACAAAGCTGCTTCTAAAACATGCACGGCATAATTTGTGCTGGGAAATCAACTGGGAAAACACTGTCTGAATTATTCAGTGCGTGAAGGCAGGGGAAGGGGCTTGTAAGTCACTTTCCCCCAAAGAACAAGAACTATCTGTGATGTGCAAATGAGATCACGGAATTAAAGGAATCCAGTATATTTGCTCTTTGAAGGCACTCGCATTCATACCCTCCACCTTTCTCTTTTAGACCATTATTTCTTCTCCATCAAGATATGTTTCCAAGACCTTTCCCACAGCACTGCTAGGAAAAAAAACAGTAAGAGATGTTCAAGGTCACAGAAACTGGATCTGGAAAGGGCCTTGGAAAGACCCTTTCAGATGTCAGACTTTCTGACATCCCGCTGAACACCATTCTGCTGTAAGGCAGATCCACCAGAAAGAAGCAGGTACAAGGATTTCTACAAATGTAAAGTGACAGTGTGAACAACCCACTGCATAGATTTGTATTTTGCGCATTTGATATTAAATCCTGCAACACCTTTTTAAGCTCACACTTTCATTTCTGTATGAATCTTCGTATAAGGGCACAGTTCAGCAAGATGAGAAAGCACGGAGGCACAACCAGAATGGTGAGCGTTCAGGGAGAAGTTGTAGGCCAGGCACTCCCTGTTCTCCAGAAAGACTTCACGGGTATGTCAAGAGACTTTGGAAAATTGCAAGAGCTTTATGAACACGCCAATCTTGCTCCTTAGGGAATAAGGAAATGAATTAACCTATTCTAAAGCAAATGACAGGCAGTTTTCCACAGGCAGTGGTAACACACCTAACACAGAACTGTGTGGAACTATGGAATCAGGTTCCCCAATATTCTTTGGGTTTTTTTGCTTCCAGAAGCTTCCCATGTCTCCATGTCCTCAAAAGAGGGAACCAACCGCCTGCTCCCTGCCGCCGCGCTAGGCCTCAGCAGAGCCCTTACCGAAGAGAGTTCCTATCAAGTGAAGGCAGACCCTCTCGTCCGGGGCCAGCAGCTGGACGACCGGTAGCGCCTGCCAGGCCAGGGCATCGTGCA